TGTGTGTGTGTGTGTGTGTGTGTGTGTGTGTGTGTGTATGTGTGTTGTGTGTGTGTGCATGTGTGTGGGGTGTGTATGTGTGTGTGTGTGTGTGTGTGTGTGTGTGTGTGGTAGGGAGCCCTGGGAGTGGGAAGAGGTCCGCTGGGAAAGGGGTGGAAGGACAGGGGAGTGGGAGTGGAGTGCCAGAAGCTGGGCTGCCCAGGCGGTGCTGGAGAAGGGCCTGGGGACCTGGGGAGAGAAGGCGGGTGTGGAGGAGATGAGAGTTCCGCTTTGGCTGCCTCCGGGCAGGGCTAGGTGAGAGGGGTCAGAAAGAGGGGGGGCTGGCCAGGGCCTTAAGGGTTTGGAGGCTGTAGAAGCGGGAGAGAAAGAATTGCCCCCCCCCCCCCCGTGGGTGTGGATGTGGAGATGGGGGCCCATAGCATTTGGGTATCAAAACCGTAGGCCAGACCTGGCCCGGTAGCTCAGTTGGTTAGGTGTTGTCCGAATACACCAAGGTTGCAGGTTCGACCACTGCCAGGGCATATGCAAGAATCAACCAATGAATGAATAAATAAGTGGAACAACACATCGATGTTTCTCTCTCCCCCACCCCAATAATTAAAAAACAACAGCAACAACCGCAGGCCCCGGCCTTCGGCCTTTGCTGTTCCCACCCTGCTCCCGTCCCCACGGGGCCGTGCCTCCCCTCTCCGGACCTCATCTCTTGGCCCTCCTTCCCCTTGGCAGACACCGGCTTCTTGTTGGCCTGTTCTCCCCACCCCCTCACTCTCCTGCTTCCTTTCTCTCCGCTGCCCCTTTTGTTCGCTTGCCCCCTTTTGTTCATCTTGTCTTTGTGTGTTCCTGCCCGTTTCTCCCTGTCTTCATGCTTTACTCCTCAGGCAGCCATTCCCTGTCCCTTCGCTCAGCCAAGTGCCCGGCCCGCCCCGGGTGTGGTCCCCACCTCACTCACACTCGCCTCAAGGGCTACTTTTACTCCCGGGTGAGTGTGTGCAGTTAGGCCCTGGGTCCTGTGTGAGGAGGAGGATCCGGCGCCAGAGGACTTGTGCCGGAGACCCGGCAGGCAGGGCGGGGGAGAGGAGGTGGCCCCTACCCCGGGTCCTCCGCCTCACGGCTCCCTGCCCCCACTCCTCGGCAGGAAGGAAGCGGCTAAGGCTGGAGACACCGGTGAAATGAATCATCCGGAGCCTAGGGGGCGGTGTCCCTTGAGGGATGAGGTCACCGCTTGCCAATTAGAGAGCAGCCCCTCTACATCTCTAGGGCGAGGCTGTGAGCCCCTCGACTCCCCAGCAGCTGCCCAGAAACGGAGTGGGGGAGGTATAGGAACCAGAACTCTGCTTGCAAACCCTGCCCCGCCTCTCCTGTCCTCAGGCGCTACTCCAATCCGGAACCCAGGCCGCTAGCCTACACCTCTGGCCTCACCAAGTCCCTCTCTCAGGGCTACTTCATGGGTTGGTCTGAGAATTACAATGAGTTTTTGTGTGTAAAGTACTTAGAGTAGCACAAGGAAAACTACGCTACTGTCGGTCTTCCCTCTCCAGAGTCCAGATCCTCTCATTTCTCCACAACCCATCCCTCTGCCCACCTCTCGCCTGTACTTCAGTATTTGAAAAACCAGAAGCCAGCCTTTGTAGAAAATGTTTCCACTGATCTGCTCTAGATTTGACTGAGCCCAGGGTGGAGTGCCCAGTTCTGGAGAGAGAGAGAGAGCAGGTCTGGGAATAGGATATGCCCAGAATGGCCTGGGGATGGGTGGGGTACACCAGGCCTAACTGGAGGTGGGGCTTGCTTTTCAGGCTGGCAGCGATGGAGCCAAGATTGGAAACTGCCCCTTCTCCCAGAGACTGTTCATGGTGCTCTGGCTCAAGGGAGTCACCTTCAATGTCACCACCGTTGACACCAAGAGGTAGGCCCACTTCTGTTCCTCTGAACACCCTTTGTGCTCACACACAGTCACCTGTTTCTTCCATCCTGAACGTTTCCCTTCTACCAAGAGCCCCTTTCTCTTCCCACATCCCTCCATCTCCTTTTCCTGGTCCTCTCTGACCCCCTTTTCCAACCCGGTGTGTGGCCTCTCTCCTACAGGCGAACTGAGACAGTACAGAAGCTGTGCCCAGGAGGGCAGCTCCCTTTTCTGCTGTATGGCACCGAAGTGCACACAGACACCAATAAGATTGAGGAGTTTCTGGAGGCAGTGCTGTGTCCTCCCAGGTATTGGGGTACTGGGAAAGGGGAGTGGGGGGAGCTGGGAGACTCTGAAGAAATAAAAAACAGATGGCGCCCTGGCCGGTTACTCAGTGGTTAGAGCGTCAGCCCAAGAACCAGGGTCGATTCCTGGTCAAAGGCATGTCCCTGGGTTGCAGGTTCAATCCCCGGTGAGCAGGAGGCAACCAATCGATGTGTCTCTCTCACATAAATGTTCCTTTTTATTCTCTCTTTCTCCCCCTCCCCCTCCCTTCCACTCTCTCTAAAAATCAATGGGAAAAATATCCTCACTCCTTGGGGTGAGGATTGAAAAACAAACAAGCCAGATGGTGACGGGGCTGAGGCAGGGGAGCTGAGGCTCCTCCAGGAGGATTCCTTATTTCTCCCCTTGGCTTTCAGGTACCCCAAGCTGGCAGCTCTGAACCCTGAGTCAAACACAGCTGGCCTGGACATATTTGCCAAGTTTTCCGCCTACATCAAGAACTCAAACCCAGCACTCAATGACAGTGAGTCCTGTGGGCCAGACGCCCGGGTCCCGGGAGGAACGAGAGATCCAGGGGATGGGAGGCATTTGGAGCACCTAGGAATTCAGATCTCAACATCAAGGGAGATGTTTTTGCTTAACTCCCATCTCTCCTTGCATTCTCATTGGCCATGACTCTTGAGTATCTCTCCTTTTTTCCCTGGCCTCTTCTGCTCTACTGGGGTTGTTAGTTGGGTTGGCTTGGCTACTGGCCCGTTTTCTGGCAGAACAGGGTTATACTTAAGAACAGTGACTTTAGCCCTAGCTGGTTTGTCTCAATGAATAGAGTGTTGGACTGAAAAGTCCCGGGTTCGACTCTGGTCATAGGCACATGCCCAGGTTGTGGACTCGATCTCCAGTGTGGGGTGTGCAGGAGGCAGCCAATCAATGATTCTCTCCCATCATTGATGTTTCTATCTCTCTCTCCCTCTCCCTTCCTCTCTGAAATCAATAAAATATATTTTAAAAAGAAAAGAACAGTGACTCTAGATCCAGACTACCTGAGTACAGATCCTCCTAGCTGGGTGACTTCGGGCAATTCATTTAACCTCTCTATAAATCTTTTTCCAGATCTATAAAATGAGCATAACAATACCTATTTTGTGGGTTGATGTGAGAATTAAATGAGTTTCTATATATAAAGTGCTTACAACAACAGAAAGCTAACTGCATTAGCTATTGTTAACTTGGACTGGCCTAGCATTAGTATTCACCCTCTCACCCCAACCTGCCCCTGAACCTTCTAGGATTGGACTGTGTCAATCATTTGATGCTCTTGCCAATGCCCTCTCTTGTGCAGCCCTGGAGAAGGGGCTCCTGAAAGCCCTGAAAGTTTTAGACAATTACCTGGCATCCCCCCTCCCAGAGGAAGTGGATGAGACCAGTGCTGAGGACGAGGGCATCTCTCAGAGGAAGTTTCTGGATGGAAATGAGCTCACTCTGGCTGACTGTAACCTGCTGCCAAAGCTCCACATAGTGCAGGTGGGTGTCCATGGTGGGAGGAGAGGATGGCCGCTGGGATGGCTTCCCATGACGACCACTGCAGAGGTGATTTCTTTCTTAGGGCGGTTTCCATAGATTGCTACTAATAGTAGATGCCACTCCTTCCTTCTCAGCAGTCATTGCCCACAAGACTGTTGCTTGTGAAAATTACATTCCAAGATACAAGCTGGGTGCAAGCCGGCTGGCGGGGAGGAACACATCCCAGTGTTACTTTCAAGAGTGCTCTTCCTGCCACTGGCACTGCCAGTCCCCAGTCCAGACCGGGCAGGCTCTTCCTACAACCAAAGCTTTAGCTCCTCATCACTTGGGTTTCCACCTCCTCCTGTCGGAGATGAAAACTTGGTTCCCATCTTTTGTCACGGCCTTAAAGCTATGGTTTCAGTTTGTGAAATCTGGGCCCGATGTCAGTCTGCCACGGAGCTGCGGATTGAACACTGAAAGGCAAAGTGGTGTGATGCTTAGTCCTTGCCCCAAATGAAACAAAGAGAAAAGTCGCTGTGGAAATTTCAAGAGAAAAATTTAATCGTTTGTGAATTATAGCTCAATAAAACCAAGAGGAGAAAAGCAGTACCATTGGAATTGGTCTGAAAGGGGGCTTGTTATCAATAAGTAGAGAGGAAAAGTGAAGACAGCTTAGGACAATAAAGAGTTAAGAAAGCCGATTGGAGCAGATGATTCACGTGGCAGGTAAGCATCATAGGAAAGAGAGCTAGACAGTGGCGACTTAACGCCTGGAGGAGAAGGCTGGGGTAAGAGAAAGACCGCAGCGGGCAGCCCACTCTGGCTTCCCTGAGGCTAATGTTTGTTCCCCTTCTCCCCACGCCAGGTGGTGTGCAAGAAGTACCGTGGCTTCTCCATCCCCGAGGCGTTCCGGGGAGTGCATCGGTACCTGCGCAATGCCTATGCGCGCGAGGAGTTCGCCTCCACCTGCCCCGAGGATGAGGAGATCGAGCTGGCCTATGAGCAAGTGGCCAAGGCCCTCAAATAAGCTCCCTCGGGGCGCCCTCGCCCCCTACCCTCCATTTTCCCCCCACAAAGGCCCCGGGTGGTTTCCCTTGGCTACCCAAGGGACACACTCCAAAATGCCCAGTGGGCAGTGAATTCTGGAGACTTGTGGACTGCCTGGGGAGTGGAGGGAAGGATGGGGGATCTGGGTGAGATTTTTATCATGGGGGGGGGGATTGATTGGTAGGACAATGTATTTCAGTAATAAAATACAGAATGAAAATCTAGTGTTGTGATTACACAAAGGGGGCTTGAAATGTGGGTAACCCGAATGCAGGGGGGGTCAGTGACCTTGAGCTCCGGGCAGAAGCCAGGAATTAGAAGAAGGGTGCTTGCGGTGATTTGGCCATTTTTACTGCCAGTCCATTGTTGCGTTGTCTCGTGGGTCCGTGCTGCGTTTGCTCCCCAGCCTGAAGGGGCGGCCATGTCTGGGTGGGCCTGTGCAACGCTCGCCGGGCGGGGCCC